TGAGCTCACTGATTCTTTCCTCTGTTTGATTAAATCTGCAGTTGAAGCTTTCTATTGAGATTTCTGATTCAGATAATGTTATTTCTAGAATTTCTATTTTTTTAATTGATTCTATTTCTTTTCCTAGCATCAATCCATGTTCAACAGCCACTCCTTGCCCTCTATCAGAGTGGCTCAGAAGTGTTCAGGGCTTGGAACAATAGGCACCATCACCATACCCTCTTGCTGTGGCCTCTTGCACCTTCACGAACTCCGTGGGTCTCTCCTCCTTTTCCTCCAGCTCCAGCAGTCCCAGGTAGGCCGTCTCTTTTTTTTTAATAGTTGCAAATTGGTTACTAATGCTGGGAATCACCTATTCTGCCGTGTTGATGACATCACTCCCAAATATTTTATATAGGTTACATATCAAACAATAACATTTTGGATACATTAGATTAAATAAAATGTATTATTAAAATGAACTTAATGTTTTCTCCTTTTATTAATGTGGCTATTAGAAAAATTAAGATTATATATGTGGCTCATACTAAATTTATATTGGATAGTGCTGGAATAGCATGTCCAGAAATAGATCCATATATGTGTGATCAGTTGATTTTTTTCCAACAGAAGTATTATGGCAATTCAATACGAAAGGCTAGTGTTTTCAACAAATGGTACATGGGAAATTAAATATCTATATGGAAAAAATAAACTTCTACCCTTCACACAATGCACAAAAATTAACTCAAATAGATTATAGACTTTAAATATAAAGCTTGTAAAAGAAACCATGGGAGAAAATCCTTGCAACCTGATGTTGGCAAATATTTCACAGATATGACATAAAAAGCATAAACTACAAAACAGAAAAAAATTAATAAATTGGATTTCATCAAAATTTAAAACTTCTCTTCAAAAGACACCATTAAAAAAGAGAGAGAGAGAGATAAGCCACTGACTGGAAGAAAATATTTGAATTTTATATATCTGACAAAGATCTTATATCTGGATACATAAATAACTTTTACTGTTACAACTCAATAATAAAAAGACAACCCATACAATTAATAAATGGGCAAAAGATTTGAACAGACACTTCCCATAGTAGATACTCAAATGGCACATGAAAAGATGCTCAGTGGTATTAATCACCAAGCAAATGCAAAATAAAACCACAATAACATAGCATTAGATGCACATTGAATAGCTAAAATTAGAAAGATTAAAAATACTAAGTTTGCCAAATGTGTGGAGCAACTTGAGAGCTCTCATACATTACTGTGGGAATGAAAACTGGCACAGCCACTTTTTTTGAGAATCAAGTAACGTATATAAAAAATACAGCAGTGTTTCTAACACATAGTTGGTGCTCAATACATGCCATCCCCTCCTCTCAGACAATCATCTGCAACCCATTGCTTATAGACATGCTCATCATATAGACTCAAACTCTTTAGATCTCAGGAATATTCATAAAGTCCTTTATTATAAAATGCTACAAAATTCTAAGGTTGACATTATTATAGAATGCATTCAATATTTTTGCTTTATTCAAACTGTGAATACCTGAGTGCCTTTTGAGCACACTGATATGTGTTATCTCGTAGCATTATTCAGCCTGGGCATTTCTTTGAGCTCCAACAGTGCATTTTAACCCTAAAGAGATTGTGTTCATCCTTCTCTGCTGCCCCACTTACTCAACCAGACTCACATTTCTCATACTTTTCAACAGTTCTTGTTCTCTGTCCTCAAGACCTACTGACCTTGGCTTTGTGTTGTTGTTTCTAGAATGTTCCTGCCATATGGTATTTGCACGTTTTTTTTTTTTTTTGAAGGAATTCTTCCCCTCAGTAGTTAGTTACTCCTACTCAACCTTAAGATCTAAGCTTTAATGTCAATTCCTCAGGAAAGTCATCTTCACTCTCCTCCCCAGGTCAAGTCACACTTTTCAATACTCTCATGATACTATAAATATTTTCTCAGTAGTTAAGCAGTTCTACAATCTTCTTGGTTTATAATCACATATTTACTTTTTAATTATATAATTAATATCTGCCTCCCTTACTAGGTTCTGATTTGCTGAGGGTAATTTGCTTATATCTACTGATCAGCACAGTCCATAGTAGATTGTAGGAATTCAGTATTTTTTGAATGAATGAAAGCAGAAAGCTTCAGGAGGGGCCATTATTTATTTTTCATTATATCCCTAGCCATGCTGTTTTCATATATTTTCTAAAAATTTGTCTGTTTTAGCATAAGTTAAAGACCCAATCAGGCTGGGTTTTAGCATTTCTAATGATATTTTAAATCAGTTCATGCCTTTTAAATATTTATCCTTGATTTTCACTTAATCTTCTGTATATGTTTCCTTTTAAAATTGAGTTTGATACAGTTTTGTGTAGGTCCTCTGCTTTTCATCTTCATGAACATATTTATAAATGCAATTGGCAATTCAATATGGTTTTAATTAGAAAATATTTTTTAGTAATCATTGAAAAATTAGTCTCCATAATGTAATGGTCTAATGCAAGGATGTTTGCTTAACAGCAGCACTGTTCTATGCCCTGATTATTTCGTGTAATGTGACATAAAGACTGGAGTATAAAAAGAAATAGAGAATATCTAATTGCTAAGAATAGCAGAGTTCTAAAGAGTTTGCCTGCATTTTTTAAAACTCAAACTAATGAAAGAGGATCAGATTATTTCACTAAACTACTTCCTCAACTCCTGAATATTGTAGTGCTAGGGTAGACATATCGCCTCAGGTAAATTTTTTTAAATCAACCTAAACAATGTAATTCTTTGTGTGATTAATTAGCTTAAACTCCAAATCTGAAGTCTGGTATGTTTACAAAAATGATAGTTCCGTTTCTTTGCTTAGCTCACCATGCTATTGAGAAGAGTTTTCTTTTAAAAACATTTTAGAAATGCTAGAGAACAGTCAAGATTTTAAAACACAATATTGGATAGAAAAGTGGACACTGTAATATGCAAGGTATCTAACAGATCAGGAGAGAAATTAATATTTATATTACTCTACTTTGCTTGAAATACACAGATTATTTTATTTATTTATTTATTTTCGTTTTTGTCTTTTTTCGTGACCAGTAACGGGATCGCAACCCTCAGTGTCGCGCCCGCACCGCGACTGGCAACGGGATCGCAACCCTCGGTGTTGCGCCCACACCGCGCTCAACCAGTGAGCGGACCGGTCTCTATATGGGATCCGAACCCTTGGCGGGAGCGCCACCACGCTCCCAAGCGCCGCACTCTACCGAGTGCGCCACCAGGCCGGCCCTACACAGATTATTTTTAATCATTGAGGATCATTAAAGTAACTAACAGTCTGGTAAATGTTAAATGCCAAAATGATGTTAACATTATTCTATAAGCATTGACCTATTTTTAATCCACATATGGAATGTCAATCAATAAACTATTTTAATTAGCTATAATACTTTATCTTCGTGTTGAGGTTCCTCTATGATAACGTGCAAAATTATTCACTTACATCATCAAGAATTAGGAATTGTTGGAATACTCATTCAACAATGCTCACCCACTATTTAGAGAGTGCAAGAAGGTAAAAATCACTAAGATAATGGTGCTCTTGGGTAGAGAGATGGATAAGCATATTACCTTTCTCAAAGAGCTTATCCTTAAGTTTAAAGAACTAAATATAAAGCAAATTAAATAATTAATATGGTCATATTAAAAGAATGTCATACCAAAGAGCATTTAAGTCTTACCAGGAGAATTACAGAAAAATTACTGAAGGATTTCACATTTACTTAAGTGCTGAAGGACCAATAGTATAGTATGACAGATGCAGAGTTTCTCCAAGGTAAATGACAAAAATAATAATTATATGATAATAAAAACATTTATTGACCACATACTATGTGTTTAATATTCTTTTAAGTACATTATACATAATGTCTCAATTCTTAGAACAATCCCTGTGAGATATGATTTGTCCCGTTTTACAGGTGAGGGAGTTGAAGCATAGAAAGTTAAACAGCACCATACCCTGTGTAGAAGACAGGTAAGCAATATGAACAAGACTAGGGAGGTTCTTGAATACTTTTAAAAAGGAGTTTAGTTTGCTTAAGCAATGGAAACTCATGGAAGGGAGTAATTCCAGTAAAAAAAAAAAATGAATATATGTATATATATATATATATATATGTAAAAGGATGCATTGAAAACGAATGGGGAGTGACACAAAGAAGAGGCTCCAGTTTGAGACATTGCAATGGTACAGGAAACTGATGAAGGAGATCTAAACTAGAGACAAATGCAAGAACCCTAATACTGATGAAATTGATGGGGCTTTCCTGTTGGAGGGGAGCAGTGAGGAATAGAAGATGAATCTCAGTAAAGTCACACTACTTAAGAAGGTGGTAGTGTATCTTTTGAAAGAACTGTTCCCTCAAAATCTGCTTTAAGTTTTAAAAATTTGAATGCATAAGTCATTTTTTTGATTACCTGTATTTTGAACCATTTAACTCCCTGCTAATGCTTGAAGATGATCATGAAATGTTGGTGTCTTCCTAATTTGCTCTCCAGCACCTATTTATGTGAGCCTGCCTTTCTTTCTTTTGTATTATTCAACTTTCTTACTTTCCCGGATCCCTCCTTGTAATTTATCTCCTTTTTATCTGCTCCTAAACTCCTACTCATTTACTTTCTAAAAATACTTGAAGTATTTATTGTCTTGTCAATTCTTTTATAATCACTTTTTATTTTTCAGATTAATTCCTTCCACTTTACAAATTCATTTCTGTCAGTTTATCTAAATTCTCCCTTACTATAATGCTTCTAATTACATGATTGTCTGTGTCTATTTTCTCTTTCACACACAAAGACCTAAACAGGTTGATTTCACAGACTTCTGGTATTATGTTATTTACACTAATGTCAATAAACCAAATTTAGAAGATATAATAGTTTTGTTAATTTGCCTTAAAATGATTTCTAAATCAAAATAAGCATGCAAAGGGAACTGAAAATAGTATTTTGAAACATGATTAATTTTAATATGTTTATAGGAAAAGAATAAATTCACCAGCAGGAAAAGAAATTACCAAAAGTAACATTTTACAGATTTTTAGTCTCAAAGCACAATACATTTTCATTATAGGTACCATAATATGGCAACATTTATACACAAGGTCATTTACCATTAAGAAAACCAGTGGCAATGGCAATGTAGTACATTAGTTCGACTTTGTTAAACTTTTTGCTATTATACTTCCTGGCCTGCAGGAGTATTTGCCAGGATACAAAAGAAAATGTGTGACCTCAATTTTAACAATACATAGAAAGCTCTGGCTGCTCATGCTTAATCCTATATTTATTATATGATCACTAGGAATGTTTTCATACCACTATTCTAACTTTATTTCATTTAATATTGTCCATGCCCAAGGAATCAAACATTTTAACAAATTCATTTGGATATTAAATGGTTATTTTATACAAAATAAGAAGTGCAATATCAGGATTTAATACTCTATATTCCTAAACTTAGTAGAAGAAAAACACTGTACAGGTAATAGTGGAAAAAATTTTGACATTATTTGGAACAGGTAATGGCATAGCATTATTGGACTGGGGAAAATGGGATAAAAAGGTTTTAGTTTTAGAGTTGATCATTTTTAAATGCACCAGATGATTTTCTGAAGGCCATTCACATTCATTGTTTAGATTCATTTTATTAGTGGCATATACAAAGCACCATATAATATATGAAATGTATAACAATCATAACTATGTAATTAACTATAGAAATAACTGCTAAGAAAATATAGCAATATTTAACACAGGATTTCCAAAACCATTACAATATTCAATATTTTCCCAAAACTAATGTCCCATGTTTTCTTTTATAGACTTATCAAGACTTATATGCATTTGGCACTTATTTTGGACTGAAAATAGTTGATTATCTTGATTATCTTCTGTACAGTAATGTTACAGTTTTATACAAACTTCAGAAATATGGCATTTGGAATAGTCTTTATGATCCTCTTCCAAGTGTTTCATTTCACACAACAGCAAATACTCGGAATGCCTTTCCTCCTGGAGGATTTTGTAAACTGCAAAAAGTACAAAAATATATTGAAGTCATCTCCACATATAATCCTTTTAATAAATCATGCTTTCTTATGACAGTCTAGAAAGCAGCTCTATGAATCCAGATGGTCAACTTTCTTAGCTACTATAATTTATAGTTATTGGAAAGCTTGAGTGAGAATGATGTAATTTTGAAAGTCTTGGTTGTGTGCTGGACTGCAAGTATACCAAGAAATTTAAGATGTGTAAGGATAACAATAGTAGTCTCTAGAGCTTCACAGATTCTAGATCATATTTTTATATATTACCTCCTTAGATTCTAAAAAAGCAGAGTTAGGCAGCTGTTACTTCATTTTACTGGGGGAATACTGAGACTCAAATTTACAACTAATTTGCATGGTTAAAAATTTTAACTATAGGTTAAAAAGATGGCTTATGCTTAGGCAGTGCTCTAGAGGACTAGCTTATTATCATTTCCTAAATCTGACAAGATTTAAATTATATTTCTATTATACAGATTAATGCTCAACATCTATAGTTTTAAGAAAAATGTTAGCGAAGAAATTTAATGGTCAATTCTGAAAGGATCTAAGAATTTCTTTGCTGAGATGTAAAAATACGTACACATACAGAGCACCTAATCTCATTCTTTAGGAACTTTCAAAACAGAAGTTAAAAGTAATGCAGAATCATAAATTTTACTCTGTGCTGTTTATATTTTATTTGGCAATGTCAATCAAGGTATATTTTGGTTTAAATGTCTAGAAGTTAAAACATTGATAATGCCATTAATCATTATTTATTCTAATCAACTATAAACTTTTGAAGCTTTTACATTTTTGTATATAGTTATATTTTCTTAATGATTAAAAAAGACTTTTAGAGATCAACACAATAAATGTTAAGAAAGAGACAAAGTGCAATTCCCTTCACATATTTATTCATGTACAAGGAAAGGGAGAGAGCTTTAGAGTGAGGAAAGAATAAAGACATCACAGGTGTGAACACACAACCAACACAAACATGCAGGTGTGCTAGGTTTTTCATACAAACATATGGCCAATGTAAAACCATTTTTATTGATAGGAAACAGATTGACTAAGTGCCCTAGGAAGTGGACATATTTGATGTGTTTCTTTGTATACAGTGATGTACTGGAAAAATGCATATCTTTGAGCCTACAGACTTAGTGCTGAACCTGAGCTCTGAGATCTACAAATTATATGGCTTTCAGCACATCATTTAATCTCTCTGGTTAAAACACATGTACATTACGGTTTACAGAACTGACATTACAGGGCTGTTGGTGGAACTGAGCTAACATACTTAGAGTGCCCAGTAATGTTTAGCATCTGGAATATTCATAGTAGGTACTCAGAAACAACTATTATTCTCATTTTTACTAGAATATCTTCTTTAGTTGTAAAATAAATCTACAAAATATGAGAGAGTAAATGAAACCACATTACTCAGTTTAGCTTATAAAAATTGCATATCAGATTCTATAACTCAAGAATCCATTCTACATACGATATGCTTAAGGAGGCCATGAACCAGGTTGTACAGACAGAAGTCACCTTCTCAATAATGGTCTCTTGATGTAGTCCCATGTGAAAATAGATGTTAAATACAGGTCTGTCTTTTTACGGGTATGACACCCAGATGGTTATATGGAAGGCAATCTAGATATCCAGCAAGGCACATCCTTTCGTGTCCTTTACAGAAATTACTATATATAAACTCTCCACTGGTAATTTTGAAGAACTCAGGAAATACCTAAAAGTTAGGAATTTTTCTGTATCTATACAATTAAATGGAACTTAGTATTACTTCCATAAGTACCAATGATTTTAAAAATAACTATAGGTTCATTTCTCTTAATGTTTATTAATACTTGGTAAAATAAGTCATACGAATTTTCTCAAATCACTAAGATATATAACACTAGAGGGCTACATAGTATGAGATGACCTGAAGGCGTTCATTTACATCATACTGGGCATCCAACTTCCAACCAAAAGAAGAATTTGGTTCTAGGGAAAATCAGACTCATTGTTTTTGTCAAATACTTTGTCAGATAACAGGATTAGAGAAATATTCAGTGCCTTGCTCACCTAGAAAGAATTAAATATAAAAACTAATCTAGAAAATCCAAACAGGATGAAAGAAATTTCCTAATTATAAGATCAATTAACAAAAGAGTGGTTCTGACTCATAAGCCGATTTTCATGTTGATTTTTATAAGCCTGCAGGAGACAGGCACTTCTGGTACTGCAGCTTCTCCCATCCCTGGAAGACCAACTGTTACATAAGTGTGCTAAGAAAACACAGTTGCTCAGGCGCTTGACTTCAAACCCATACAAAAGTGGGTCCGTTGTAAAGCAATCACAAATAAAGAGGTAGATGGTATACAAAGGGACACACACACACACACACACACACACGCTTTGTTTTTACCTTTCCGAGAAGATTCCATTCTGAAAAGAAGCAATGTACATCTTTCTTTTGTCCACAGGCATAACATCAACATAACCACCATGATTTCGAACCACCCCAGCATGTACTGCAGCTCTGCAGATACTGGACAGCTGAAGAGGCAAGGAAAAAACCTTCCATTGTTAGGAAATTCCTGCTGAACTTGCCCAACCTACTCCTCTATTGCACTAAAGTCGCTGACATTTGCCTCCGTGTGGATAGCCCGTGAGCAGTTACAGAATGATGTCTTGTGCATGAAGGAATGTTTCAAAAGTCACAATGTCAAGCCACTTCTAAGCAAGTCTAAGGGCAGAACTTAAGGGTGGCTGCAATGGCCAGAGCCCTCCCACACCTAATCTAGTGAACATCTGTCCTGTCCACACAGCAGGCTTTCTGACTTTCAAAGAAATTAAAAAAACAAACAAACAAAAAAACAAAACAGGCTTTTATAGTGTCAAAGCAATAAAAAGCAAATTAGCTCCCTTTATTTCTGCCAAGGCCTATTTGTCATTCTTAAATGTTAGCCTTTGCTAGCCTACACTGGAGTCACTTGGGCTAAATGTTCCCAAGCTGGATTATTCGTACCTTGTTTATGTTCAATTTTTACTTATACACAACTCAAATGAAGTTCTATACATCTCTATGGCCCCTTTTCCATAATAAAGGTATATATTAAGTGGAGAGCTTTTTCCTATCAAATAATATAATCTACACAGAGAAATTCTGCCTGGAAGAATAACCCTAAGAAGAAAAAAATGAAGGACAATCATAACTTCTACCTAGTTTTGCAGTGCCTACCTGTCACTCTAGTTTGAATATTCTGAAATGAAGTACTAGGAAAGTTCTATGATTATATTGTACCAGTTATAATCTGAATTGAATGGGATTTCTATGGAGAAAAAAAATTAGTGTTTCAGGTCTAATACTTTCAAATTTTTAAGACTACTTATTTCTAAAAGTCTAATAATTTCTTTTGGCTCATTAAAGTCTTCTCTAGATTTTTAACATTTGCTTTAATCCAAATGCTCTACCAAAATTTGTCAATAACTGAGTATAGCATGAAGAAATCCCACAAAACGAAACACTTGAACTGTTTCAGTATAAAGCAATCTACCTCCTAGCCCTCTGGGTCCTTCCTGATCGCCCTAGTGTGTTATTTTCTTATCTCTATGCACATGTGGCTGGTTTTTATGCTTTTTTAAGTTCACATAAGCATGAATATCTTACACGACCTTGCTTTATTACTGTGCTCTGAACTCTGTGCCATCAGTCAGCATTTATTAGATCACAGAGCCTGAATGCCAAGCTGTTTAATCCTGTTCATGCTTTTGCTATATCACAAAATACCATGCATCTGAAACCTCGAATCCTTACTCTGAGGAGGCATTTTATTCATCATTTAAAGTCCCACACTGCATTAATTTTGCACCCAATATTGATCATAATGGATGGAATTAAAAATAATTCTATATACATTTCCATATTTATCCTGTTCTGTTAAAAGTGTATTATCAGCATTTTTTCCCAAGGCAACAAAAGTGCTTACATATAACATTCACTAAATCCAAGCACTTAATATGTTTCGAGACTATTGTTTTGCCTACAACTATGCAGTCAGCAGGCATTCCTATCTGAGTTCAAAAATCAGGAGACATCTTCTTTTCATACCCACACTTTATAAGAATTAATGTATTGTAAGAAGAAAGAATAATTTATCTGTGAAAACAAAATTTTTTAAAGAATGCAGAAATTAATCTGAAATAAACTATAAATAGAAGCTCAAAACAACAGAATGTATAAATTCTAACTCTATAAATGAACAGAGAGAGAGGGAGGGGAGGGGAAGGAAGGGAAGAGAAGGAGGGAGGGAAGAAGCTTGGTTGATTGGTTTTCACCTTTTTGTATCAACCTTATTCAAAGAGAATATATTCTGCAGGGGCTGAGAAGACTGACAATTAATGACTAAATCTCTGACTCTGTACTTACCATGTGATAATAATCTTTATGTTTCCAGTTTACTCTTCAAAGGATTATGTAATGATACATAATATCTACCCATTTCACTGAGGTAGGAAGATAAAATGACCTCAGGATATAAGTTCTAACAAAACCTTAACTCTAGCAAGAGATGGTTGAGAGGTACAGAAGTACATAGGATCTTTTGAAAGACTTTCATCTGGCATGATTAAAATGAAAAGTTCTGGCGCTTAAAGGGAAAATCTGAGAAGAATAATTTCTTTGGAAATCTTCATAAGCTTATTTATTTTCTCAACAAATATTTATGTGCAAGGTAGACACTAAATGTCTGTTGTCACTGTAATGCTCTAAGTTCTGTTAAGGCAGGAGCAAGCCTGTCTTGTTCAGAGCTTGGGAGACATCAAAATTAGTGATGAAAAAATGATGAATGAATTGCCCAGCTGCTGCCTTCAAGAAACTTACAAACTAAAATAAAAGAGGATAACAATCATAATATCTAATAAAATATGCTAAGTGCTAAAAGGAAAAAGCAAAGTTACAAAGGTTGAAAGGAGGAAAACTTAATACTTGAGTTAGGAGATTCAGCTATATACCTCAACAGAAAGTGGCAATAATTTAGGACGTGAAGAAAGGCCGTGATTTTGGCAGATAGAAAAATTTTGAAAAGGATGCATTTTAAAGAGACAAGAATAAAAGCACAAATGTGAGGACTGGAGAATTAAAGATACCAGCAGGACACTTAAGCTGCAGATAATAATGCAAATCTGGAGCCTGAGAGAGACTTAGAATTGGAGAATAATTTCAAAGGGAAAGCTGAATTGAAAAAAAACTGGACCTAAATCAACTCACCAATAAATAAAGTAGTAATGTACATATTTCAGGCCTCTGTATGCAATCAAATTCTGATAGTTTTCTACTGAATATGTGCATCAAGAATGTAGTTCCTACATGTTTTTGTTTGAACTCTCTGACTCAGAAATCTGTAATGGTTTCTAAATGTATGCTGCATAAAATATAAACTCATCAGCATGTACTTTCAGACTCTCCATCTGCATGTTTCCAGAACTGGATGCCTCTGTCACTCAGAGTAAATTGGCTGCAGCCCCCTTTAGCTACAATTGTCACCAGCTCAGAAATGAGCAAAGCTGTTGGGTATGCCACATGCAGCATGATTACTCTCCTCTCCATGTCTGTCTTTGTAGAGGCCACTCACCTGCCTAGAATGTGTCCTCTAACCCTCTTGACCCTTAACCTTCTTGACCCCACCCTTCAAACCTGGCTCAAGAAGTACGCGGCCACACTGAAGCCATCACAACCAAGATTCCTTGTCCAATCCGACTGAAGTCATTACGACATCCCCTCAACTACCTTCCTCTTGTACATATTTTCAGGTAGCACCTGTTTTTGATTCTATGCTACTTTTCAAATGCCCTTTTGGCAGTGAAGATATTGTTTATACATTTGACAAATTCTTAATGTCCAATTTAGCCTCCGAATACTGGAGAACCTAAAGGAAGATTAAAGAAAAGCAAAATGCATTTTCTTTCACAAGAATGTCTCCAGACATTAAGTACCAGACATAAGATATGTGGGGAGGATATGAAGAAAAATTTAGTCAAAATAAATGATTATGCACTCATTTTTGCATGTGGATATAAATGTTTCACTGATATTGATGATTATCTTTTCTGAGAATATATGCATCAACACAAAATTTGTTTCCTTGCTCGGTATATAAATGTCCATATATACTTCAAAATGTGTGTATTTGTTTTTATATATAATGAATGTTGACAGCTGTATAAATTAGGATACTTACATCAGAATAAATTCGAGTTCCAATTACACGAGCATAATGTGGATTCGCTTGCATACAGTTACGAGGACAGTATACTCTGAAAAACATACATACATATAAAGTAAGCTGGTTTCTTCAGTCTTTCTTATTAGTGAAAACACAGACATGCATATACAAAAGTAAACTCAGCATTCTAAACCGCTCCCTTTTTTTCTCCTGAAATAGTTCAATTGTACAATCCAGGCAGCAGATACAATTACCCCTGTTTACTTTATCTATTTCCCTCTTTTGGCACAAATGTGATTTTTTAAAAAAATTTGGTCAAGAAGCTTTCTAATTTGGGGATTCAAAATGGAAAGGAGCATCAGGAAGCACCTCTTTGTACCTGAGAATTTGGGACCCAATATGTCTGCAGAATTGAGTAAACAGATAACTTGGAAAATGAATCATTATCTGCCCCACACATTTAGTAGTCTCTCTTCTCTATGTTCACAACTTTGGTATCTCATCCATTTTCGTGGCTTTAATTATCATCTATAAAAAGTTGATTCCCACATTTACATCTCCAGTTGAGGCTACTTTTCTTAATTTCAAATCTGTATATCCTAATGCTTATTCGACCTCTCCAAGTAGATATAATAACATCTCAAACTCAGCACATATGAAAGCAAATTCCTCATCTCGTCCTCTAGTCCCCAAGTCTGTTTTTTCTGTAGGCTCCCCATTGCAATAAATGGCATCTCCTTTATTCCAGGTGATCAGGACAGAAAACTTTATTCTATCCTTGATCCCTCTCTTTATCTCACACCTTACAACTAACCCATCAGAGCATCCCTAAGCACCTCAAGCACCACAACTGTGGATTCTATTATCTGTTGTCTGACTACTGCAATAGCTCTCCTACGATCTCCTACTTTCAATGTGACCCTTTTCAATCTATTTTCACACACTTATTTTCAAACACACAAATTCAAACATGTCATTTTTCTGCTCCTAATATTCTGGTGGCTTTCTATCTCATTCAGAATAAATGACAAGATTCTTAGAATAGTCAATAACCCTGCCTATTCTGTCCCCACATTACCTCTCTGACTTTATACCCCACTCATTTTTCACTTTCTTACCCTGCTCCAGTCACACTGGCCTAATGATTATTCCTCAAACAAAAACGACAGGCTCCTGCGTCAGGGCCTTGGCACTTTTCTTTCTCTCTGCCTTGGATATTTTTTCATTAGATGTCCCATTGCTTTACTGATATCTGATTGGCTTAGCTCATTTAAATGAAGTTTTTAAAAGCTTTTTTATTTTAAAATAAGGCCAGATATGTGTTTAATCAAACCACACAATACTTAAAAAAAAAAAATCCATTCCCAGAGGTCAAGAAACTGTCAAGTGGCACTTTATAAAAAATCAATTGAATTTTCTGAATTCACACAAACACACACTGAAAAGAAATACAAATGAAAACTGGAAAAAATCAATTTATTTTACCTATTAAATGAGACTCTCAATACAATAACCACATGAAAATCATTGGTGGATGATGGCATCAATGACTTTCCTAAAAGCATTCTAAAAATACTTCAATTGAGGAAACTATCTTTGCCAATTGAAGCAGATGTTCTTCAAGATAGCTTTTAAGAAACTGCTACAGTTCTTATTTCTAAAATCTGTAGAACATTCTATGCTCTAGAGTATATATACTTCATATAACATCTAAACACCTGAACCATTTAAATATATGTAATAAATGAATCGGAGTTTTTATAACAGAATTAAAAGGTTCATGGTTATAAAAGATGCTGTCTGGGGTTTCTGCAGGAGGAAGGGTGTCTTATTGACTGGAAATGATCTCATAGTTTGAGAACTGCTGGGCGTTCACTGCCTGTCCTCTGGTTGTAAAACTACCTGTCCTGCCCTTAGGACCGTGTTGTACGAACTCTGTCTTGCCCATATTTAGCACTTGGTTTGCAGAAGGCCAAGGTCAGCAGCTCCAAGTTATGTTAGTTTCTACCCTAGATAAGTTCAGGTAAAAGAGAGACAGGAGAAGGGTTTTGCTTGTTTGTGTTCTAATCTCTGGATTTAACTCCTTGTTACATACTACTGACAAGGTAGGCAGTGATCTAGTAAACATTCCTTTACTTACAATCTGCCTGTAAACTTTGAATAAAAATGCCAGCACACTTTAATGACACCTACTTTTACATCTTGAGCACCCAGCAGATTTTAAACACCTAAGTGTTTATATTATATATACACTATAATATATATACATATATATACTATATATGCAAGATAAAATTTCCACTAACACACACACATGCACACACGATTTCTACAAGATTATGGCACTAAATAATTGTTAGACACGGTTGTTCTGGGTTGTCCTGTCAGATATGGAACCTCTTGAGAATATGACTATGAAGGTTTATCTTGTTTCTTCATGATCTTTTTGAGCTAATTTCCTTTCATTTATTTGCCCTTGCCATTTTTTCTCCAGAATAATCTTTGTTTGAACCTATTTAAGAGATGTGAAATACTAAAAAAGATGTACCAGCCATAAGGTGTCCTGAAAGTTATATACTGTCATAAAAGCAGTATCATTATGGCCTAATTTATCAAGCTATTAAAAATTCTACATAAGAAAAAAAAAAACAACCTTTGTTTCACAAGTCTCTAAAATAAAAAAGGGGAGAGGGGCTTTCCAGACCACTTAAGGTCAAAATTATGTATAAATTATTATTTACATACATTTATTCTATTGGTGACATTAAAAGCAAAAACTAAACTTTTAAAATTTATATCGTTTTCCTTTTTTGTATGTTTGCCTTCCTGGAACAAGCCAAGAAATAGGGAACTTGTTTATTAATATTTTACTTGAATGACTTTTCTCTTTTGGAACAGTATTGATGTAGTAGATTGAATTATGTCCCCTCAAAACTACTGAAGCTTGAATTGTGTCCCCCAACTTTTATGTATTAGAAACTTAGCCCCCACTGTGACTGTTAAGAGGGTGGGAAGTCCTATTATGGTAACTGACAGATGGAGCCCTGAAGAGATGACTGGATTGTAGAACCAAGCAGTAGTGAATGGATTAAAAATGGTGGTCAGGGGCATGGTTCTCAGGGCTTTAAAAGAAGAGGAGAGTCTGCCTTTCTCTCTCTTTCTCTCTCTGCTCTCTCTGCTTCCACCATCTTGCAATGTGAGAATCTGGGTCACTGCTGCCACCACCAGATAAACTTTGGACTTCCCAGCCTCAGAAACTGTAAGCAATAAATTTCATTTTCTTTATAAATTACCCAGTTCCAAGTATTTTGTTATAAGCAACAAAAATGGACTAATACAATTAATATAAATTGTTTTAGAGATACAAAATTACCATTTATTAAGCATCTAGTAGAGGGAAGCTTTATGGTGGAATGCTTCCCAGAGATTATCCTTATTATTTGGCTTTATAAACCTAGTCACGTGGCTGCCATAAGGCCTAGCATAATACTGGTATATACAGTAGGCATTTAATACATATTTATAAATGTATAATTTAAAATTTCTGCTTTTTTCACATATCATGATGCTAAAATTTACCACTTCACCTAGCAATATGTCTTTCTCCCTATAAAACTACAATCTGTAAGTATAGATTCTTGAGAAATCTGAAAGAAAAATAGTATAAAATCTTTTAAATTACAAAACAAACATGATTTAATCAAATCTGTGAGCCTTTAAGAGTATAATTCATGAAGCTCTAGTAACATTAGAATATACCTTTATAACAAAAACAAGGTGTCACATAATTAATTTGTGGTCCAACAGTAAAAAAGTATATGATTTACTTCACACAGTAAGGGATCCTGAAATCATCCTACACACTTTATAATCTGATGATTTCAGTAACACATGTGCTGAAGAATTTGAAAATTCTCAAATCAACATGTACCAAGTTAATAACAGTATTCTCATATTATACACAAAAAGATCTGTTTTTTAAGAGGAAACAAGTTAGTTATTCACATGTGAAAGAACAGATTGTTTATATCACAACTGCAATTGAGAAACTCCCTACTGACAGAAAATGAAGTACTCAATTGTTATATCAACATCATATTCTTCTGTTATCTTGTAAATAAACAATCCCATTCTTTAGAGTAAAATACTGCTTTAGTGTTAAAAGGGTAAGTAATGAGGTTTTTCCAAAGCAAATAAACTTTTCCATAAAAATTAAGCTCCTTTAATTTTTTAGTAAATATATTTTGTCAAATTACAATTATACCTCTAAATTTCATTTGTAGTTTTTAGAAATAGTGTAGATAGAACTAAGACTCGATGTGTAGGGACATACTTCACTTTTTCTATGTACTGAATATGGCTTATGGCCACAACACTTCTACCAGTTTTCATCTTAGATTGGCTAAGACAAATGAAGCATTTTTCTCATTATTTCATAGTAGATGAATTCCACTATAATTTTTTAAAAGCGTATACAAAACAAAAATAAAAGAAAGGCAAAGATGGGCTTCTTGACTTATCAACTGCAAGTAGACTGATCTAATTTAGGAACTGGATAACAATGTTAAAAAATAAGAATTACATATTTTAGTTTCTGTTGAAAGGATTTGTTGTGGACTGAATGTTTTTGTACCTCAAAATTCATCTGCTGAATCCCAACCCCCACTGTGACTGTATTTGAAGAAAGGGTCTTTATGGAGGTAATTAAGGTTAAATGAGGTCAGAAGGGTGGGGACCTTATCTCATAGGATTAGTGTCCTTATAAGAAGGAACACAAGGAAGTGCATTCTCTTCCTCTTCCACATGTAAAGACACAAAGAGAAAGTGGCCCTCTGCAAGCCAGGAAAACAGTCCTCATCAGGAACCAAATCAGCCAGCCCCTCAATTTGAAATAGCAGGAAGTACTTCTGCATGTGGAGAGAGTCCACCAGCAGACTTGGACCACACATAATCTGTGATGTCCCACTGCTCCCTCCTGCTTAGCAGTTCAAGATCATACACTCTTTGAATCCTAGAGACACCAGAATTTTAGGCAAAAAGAAAGTTATCACAGGATCAAAGCCCTGCATATGTTCGCTGTTTAAAAAAAAAAAAAAAAGAGGAAATTTAGCAAAAATTACCTTGGGCAATGTGAAGCAGGCTTATGAAATGGACAGAGTTGTTCCACAGTTGTTTCACAAGTCACAGCCTGAACTAAAGAAGTAAAAAAACACAAAACAATAAGCACATCTTTTGGAAGCAATGCCATGCTACATAGTAGAAAGAAAATAAGATGAAAAAATGTGCTAACCTGTTACTTTAGAGACTGTAAAGGAATTAGCCGACTGATATTTGCTGAAGACAAAAAGATAGAAATGTCAATCATTTTCTTACAGGCATCAGTATCAGCATAATTCCTGATATATTTAAGGTCTACAAGTATTTTCTTTTTAACCATTTTTATTAAAATAGGTAGATAACTAGTAATGTCAGAATACATCATCTATTTTATGCTAAATCCATATTACCTTCCTGTATCAACCAAATCAATACCATTCTTAACATTAGAGGGTGGTCTCCTTTCATTATCAATCTCAAAAACCTACAGATAATAGTATAAAGCAATACACATTGTATCTACATATTTGTTTCCTATCAAAATTAAAACTCTCAAATATTAATTCCTTGTCTCTGCAGAACCACAAACTATTTAATCCTTCACGATAGTAAATACAAGGCAGTCTTGTAAAAAGACTTTATAAAATAGTAAGTGCCTTGAGGGAGTGTGCATTCTTCATTTTTTGTTTCCCTTACTATCTATAGAGTAAAATGTCTATAATAAATAAATGAATTGCTTCTCATTATGTACATTATTTAAAAAATAGTAATATAAGGCTAGGTACATCATTATGTATCAAAATTTTAATCGGTCTATGGATATACAGATTTTCAGAAAAACATCTCTTGCTAAATGTAAGGCTTGTGATGGCAATTTAACATGGTACATCATCTGAATACATTAGCTCAGGCCTGAAGGCATAAAATTTCAATAATCTTTAAATAATCTTTAAATAATCTTAAAAGAAAAAACATAAAATAATAAGGTAAGTGTTCTTTAAGTCATCACACAGTGGTTGGTTTACCAAAGCTAATCATTAATATTTATTATTTAATGAAGGTAGTCAATACATTTTGCTGAATACTTATAATAATAAATATAAATAATAAATATAAATAAATATTTTCATAAAAACTTTACAAAAGAGAGTTATTGCTAATGGCTAAAAACCACATATCAAGCCTTTGAACAAAATTGTATACATAGGAGGTCATTCTGCAAATCTGCAAGAATTTTTAATAAATTATTTTTTATAATTATGAATTCTCACTTAACCCTACTGTGGAGTTTCATGAGACTGTATAGTTCAAGGAAAGAGACTTTATCATATTTCCTAAGAAAAGGCATTCTGTATGAGGTTCAATAATGTCCAGTTTTTTACTCAGAAGAAAAAAGACACTACAAAGATATTTCAAAAGCCCACATTTTTCTACTTTCTACAGAGTATATATAAAAAGGCAGTGTTTTAAAATAAGGTATTTAGAATACTTAATATGAGAAACATTTCAAAAGTTAATCGATGCTTTTATGTTGGATTAAAATACATTTAAATGGACAAGAGAAGATGACATAGTTTATTACATATCTAGAGAACTTTTCAAAATGCTCTTTTACCTGTTAATCGAATTTATCTTATTAATAAAGTTATGGCTGCATAAAATAAGACATCTTTCCTAAACAGGGCAGGGAGAATACGCAAATTAATTAGCCTTCTCTGGGGTATTTTCTGTCACAGCTAAAAAATTTATTGCTTTACAATGGGAATTAACTGTAAATTTATACATTCTTAATGAAACTCAAATTTTGGAATTTTGGAGTTTTAGAGTTTTTGAAGCAAAAGAGCTCAACTTTGAATTTAGATGCTTTTTATTCTTTTTGCCTTGGATATTACACAGCTGAAGGAATCTTGGAAATTAGCAACTTTGTAAGTTAAATTCTTCTACACTTTGCTCTAAAACAATGTGTTAGCTCACTGTTATAATTTAATATCATAAGGTCCAAAAGATCATTCCATTTGGGTACTTACCCAATGGTTTGAACACCATTTCTATTGGATTTGATGAAATAATGTTTTCTTCCTTGTCTAGTGATATCTACCCAACCACCATCATTGTCTATTATACCATAATGAATTGCAGCTCTACAGATGCTGGATTGCTTGGGGGAAAAAAGGAAATAAAAGGATGTTAAAATATTAGAGTTTGGCATAGGACACTACTACCTACTACTTAAATGACACTAAATTATATAAACATTTCTGAGCAAAATATTTATACTAATAAAAGTTATTTTTCACATTAAAAAATCAAATATCATATGGAAGGACTATATTCCCATATAATTACACTTAACGATACTTACCATTTCATAATGTACACTGCCAATAACTTTAGCTTTACTATCCAAACAGCCAGCAGGGCATTCATACCTAAATGAAAGTAATCGGGAACAAAATTTAGTTCTTCTCAATGTCAATACGAAATGAAAATATTTCTTATGCTTCATCAGATAATTTTGAGAATAATAATAAATATTACCTATTGCAGGTTGTTCCTTTGCACTGATCTCTTAGTCTTACTTCACAAGAAACAATCTGGGCTAGAAGCAAAACAAAACGAAATAAAAAAATTAGATAATGTAAAACCTGCTAATTCATAATATATAGCCTAATGACAAGTTTTTTCCATTCTAAAAATGTTCAAATTAATAAAATATAGGTGGATATGCCATCTATGGAAACTTTAAAATTTTTATAAATAATGCAGAGGACTTACACATTTGCTGTGTACTTATGACTTCGTTTCTATTACTATCATCTGATCTTGTCCAAACGTGGGTATCATGGACTTGTGACTGCTCCCGTTCAATTTCGTTTGTTTCTTCTTCTCGAGCAGGATAATACCTGTCTGACCCTTCTGTTAGAGAGAATGGATTTACAAAACATTAGTCCCATTTTACATGTGCACAAGTAATTAAATAATGATAAACCTTTATATGCCTATAACATTTAAAACTAGAAAAATCAGTAGTTTTTTGACACAGGTTTTGGCTTAAAGTGGTGATCTTATGTACTGCATTGAGGTAACTGAAGTATACACATAAGCCGTTAGGTACTTGATTCACTTATGCTTGTGTTTGGCTAATACTCAATGGATTTACTTTAAACTTTACTTGTATTTCAACATTATCAGTGTTTGGTTTTCATAATGACACATGAAATCTACACGGTGATCTAACAAAGTCAGGGCTTGGTAAATTTGAATTTGTTTTCCCAAATGAAAACATACTCAGGAGGATCACATTTAGAATTCCCCCAAGTGGAAATTCAGTCTAAAGAACAATTGGCATACCCTTGCTATTTACTACAATACCCATTTCCATGGGAAAGTTTTTCTCTTTTAAGAGGAAATCCAAGGTGCAGAAATTTAAATTTGACAATAGATAATAATTTCAAACTCTGAATTTAATTTCTTTACCCCACATTGGCCTATATAAAGAGCTTGAAAATGGCATGTTCTGGAGAGGTGCATTGTTTTCATGAGTGTCCAAGAACTTGAAGGAAGTGTGAAGTCAGAGGAAAGGCAGTTCTAAGTAAAATATAGTGGCCATTGGTGAAGAGGCAGGTAGGTTGGAAGTCTGGGGGTAGAGTGACATACATAGCTGCATCTTGTCTGCTCATTATAGCTAATGAGCATTCAGTCATTAAGGGAAAGAAAGACATTTCTTTATGAGCACTGAAAAAAAACCTGCATTTACTGAAATATTTTCTAGTACACATAGTCTACGTTAAACTTCATTAATCATCATTAAGAAAATTGTACAAGGCAGTAAAAAATGTTCATCTGCATGCCCAAGAGCATGAATTTTCACAAAGCTTTATCATATACACTTTTCATGCGCAATAAACAGGATTCCATACTTATATTCACTTTTTTAGAATATCAAGTGCATCTGAGAGCACTACTTCTGTAAGTTTTGCAGAACTGTTTTTTTTTGTTGTTGTTGTTATTTTGGTATGACAAATTGTATAGTCTGCAGTGAAAAGTATAGAATACCTATAATTCATAAGCATGATTCAATAAGATACAGAGAAGTATTTTGATAAAAACTTTTAAAGCGCTGAAAATACACTGTGTTAAATTGCTAAATCCTTCAAAAATGATAAGTTATGGAAATATACATATATACACACACGTACATATTGTCAACAATATATAAAGTTGGCTGTTAAGAATATAAATATTCTATTACTTTGGGATGATTTCAAAGTAGAATTAGAAATGGTTATCTGAAATAATCATGAAATTTTAAATATATGTTGGTGTAACAGACTTATCAATAACATAAATATTTTAAAATGGTTTATTCAAAATATTTGAAGTAGAGCTCTGGAAACTTTTCATGTAGTAAATGCACTTTGGCTTTTTTTTTTTTTAACACAAGCTAATGTAGAAGCTGGATTAAAATAGAAATAAAATTGAATGTTACAACACAATAGCACTTACCTTTGTAGCACAGATTTTCTCTACAGCCCCCTCCAAAACTAGGTGGGCATGCAGAACAGGGCCGTCCATGTTTGTACGGGGCGTGGCCCCACCAGTTTCCCCTTAAAGACATGATCCACTCTAGTAAAAGTTAGTCTAACTGCATAATTTATAAGACATTGCAAACATTACCATAATAAGAATATTCTAAGTAATAATTTTGGTGTGTAGATTTAAGACATTTATATATCTTAGTAGAATCTTATTGTTAATATGTTTAAATAATTACTGCCTAAATTTTTGAAATTTTCAAAGTAATTTGCTATATATAGTGTTAAGAATTACAAAATCAAACTTCTGCAGAAAACCAAACTTTGCTAGGGGATGTTTACCTCTATTCTATTTTGTTTTGATAAAAACAGTTCTTAGACTTAAATCTGACACTAAGTACAGTTGTGTTATATTTTCAGTGTAATCATTCAAACGGTTTTTATACAGATGAAAATCAATGCATTTCTCCATTCATCTATAGTGTTAATCTCCAAAAAATCAAAATTATTAAATATGTGTGGAATATAATGACTCGGCGAGTAAAACTGAAGATAAAAATATGATTCCCGTCCTTGCAAAGATCATATTTTCAAATTACATATTCACTTTAGGCACTGATTTTATGCATTAGGCAACTATAATTGTCATATTATATAAACTGAAATAATACAATACACTTTTCTCAATAACATACAATGAAAATAAGAAAAAATCAGGAATATACAGTTACTTTCAGGTTGTTAAGAAAAACTTACATGCAAAAGTAGTTTGTCTACTTACTTTGGGGAATAATTGCATACCAAGTAGAGAGCTTTGGGCCATATCTGTCCCCAGATGTTCATGTTATGGCACAAATTAATGGCACAGCCTATTCTGTTACTTGTGGCCCATACCACCTACATGAGAAAAAAGAAAGGTTCAGAAAAAGCAGGCTGAGATGACATAAAACAATGTAAGAGAGAAAAATGTATAAAAGCTGAACTGGAGAACCAACATTTATCATTCAAAATAAAATGCAAAAGCAAATAGGGTATTTCCCCTGAGACTTTGGGTAAAACCTAATTTTAAAAAGAGATCTAGAAGTAAATAACCACATCTGGCTATAAAATAATGCAGAAGTTATTTAGTAACTCACAAACCTAAATGTCATATTAATATTTCTAGGAAGAAACTTGCCTAAAAAGGGACAGAATTTCACCTCCTAAACAGAAAGTACTGAAAATTTAAGTGTTCAGATTTCTTAACACAATCTTTTCATTGTACCACTGGTTATTAAGTAGTTTGATGATGCTTTAATCTTGTCACACACAAAGTCATACAGAACAATCAGTCTGCTTTATATTCACTTACAATAGGTCATAGAAACACAGATAACTGGTGAGCTTTAGCTAGCTGAATCTGCCTTTAGTTGTCTGATTTAGAAGTTTAGAACATATCCAATACCAAAGATAAACACTAAATATAAAAAAAAAATGCTACACAAATATAAATATTGAATGCCACTGACAAATAAAACCGTATTTTTATTCTTTGAAATAAAACTTTGACTGAAGATGGTAAATTCCTCTCCATAAACAATTATTGGGTCCATATTAAAAACACTGTATATGTGAAAACATTGAAATAATGTCTTTTCCTTTTTTTTTTTTTTTTGTCTTTTTTCGTGACCGGCAACGGATCGCAACCCTCAGTGTCACGCCCGTACCGGACCGGGACCGGCAACGGGATCGCAACCCTCGGTGTTGCTCCCGCACCTCGCTCAGCCAGTGAGCGGGAACCGGTCTGTATGTGGGATCCGAACCCTCGGCGGGAGCACCACCACACTCCCAAGCGGCGCACTGTAGCAGTGCGCCACCGGGCCGGCCCCTGAAATAATGTCTTTTAAGTAGATGTTTGGACATTATTCGATGATAATTACTTTTACTGTTCATAGAAATTTGTAAGGCTACCCCACATAATCAATAGCCATATACGTTTTGTTTTATTTTTAACCATACCAAATGACATCAGAAAGACACAAGATCAGCAGCCTAAGTTCTCCCATAGTTACACTCAATTTAAATGAAGAGAGTATAAACACAGCCAAAACATACCTGTGTATAGTGAGTACATACAGGACCAGAACACCTGAATGGACAATACGGGTTGCATTCATGTTCATATGGGTAGCTGAAGTCTCTTACTTCATCATACCATGCTTGCACATGAAATGTCGGGGGCCTATATCTGTTAGAAAGAAAATAATCACCAAGAATGAGTAAAGTTGGAGAAAATGTAAAACCAAATAACATGAAACAGATTGATAAAATTTGGTAGAAAAATATTTTTGTGTAAGTCATTAATCTTAAATACCTACGCCCATTACATTATTAATAAACCAATGATTAAAAACAAAAATAAGTTTAAAAAACTGCTGATTCTTCTGATATATTTGCTTTTTGTTATTTGTCTTTTCATCACTTTTCTTTTAGATACTAAATCTTTGAAAATTTGTAATGATGAATTAATAAGCATTTCATTTCAATCACTCATGTTTTCAGAAACAAAAAGCTGGGCTTTAAGATACCTTCCCCAATGTGCTCCCAAATTCTGTCCAATTGATGGAAGCAAGTTTGCAGGTCCATGTTCCCACAAACAAGTTTCAGCCCACGATTCAGCAGATCTTTCCAGCTCTACATCCCAAGTCTACAATTTAAAACAAAAACAAAATGCACATATGTAGAGTTTAGACATTTCCTCAAAATACACTGTTGCTCAGTTTTTGTGTCTTCCTTCCTACTTCTTTGTAAAATCAATATCTTAGTCTAGGTTCTCACCAGACTCAAATATCACCTTGATTTTTGCACTAGCCTCCAAATCAATCTCCTTGTTTCCATCTCTTACCGCTCCTATTTGTTCCTGTGTTTACATTACCTAAGTGAACACAAATACACCTAAATGATATGTCTGTCTAAACACACTCAACAAATCCCCATATGCATAAAGTCCCTGGTCCCACAGTTCCCTGTCATTAGACAGCTTATTCCTTACTCCTGCTGACATTATTCCCACTGCCTAAACATCCTTCTCCCAATTACTTGTCAGATCCCTACTCTGTCTTCATAATCCAGCTTTATAAAATACTTTTTCTGTGACACCTTCTCAATTCCCTTAGATGTAAGCTATTCCCTCCTTGGGGCTGTTAAAGCTTTGTTACACTCCTTTGTTTAGCACCTCTGACATTACAATGTTAGTATTTCTTTACATGTCTACCTCTTTCATGAGACTGAGTTGCGTGGGAGCAATTATTTAACCTATGCTGGTATCTTTGGCCTTTTTTCTGTATCTCTCATATAAATAAAGTGATTAGTAAAAGTTTGTTAAATACATGAATGGTTAATACATCTCTATAAAGACATGTATTATTTTCATACGTCAAATTCAATATGAGTGAATAATTCATACTTTTAAAATAATTTATTAAGAAAAAATTACCGATTAAATTATTTCAGTGAAATAATTACTGAAATAATTTTTCCAGTCCCTGGTTTAGTATTTAGCTTGTTATTGAAAAACGGGCCTTATACTAAGTACACTGGTAAAAACAGAGTCAGATAGAACTAGATTCAATTTTGGCACTGCAATTACAGGACTATGAGTGTGTTAAGAAGACAGAAAAATGGTGTTAGAAATGGAAAATGAGGACATGACCTAAGGTGACGGCAATAAAGGAGCAGATGGAGTAAAATCATGTCTAGGAATTTAAATTCCCTGAACTTGATGGGACAACTGGAGATAGATGGTGAGGGAAAGAAATGTTGAAGACTAATAAGGTTACCAAATTGGGAGAAAAAAATATGGAAAGAGAAATAGATTACTGTAATAGAAGTGTGTCCATGTATTTCTATGTGTATCTCACGAGAGATTTATGAAGTATCTGTGATACATGCAGTATATGTGCCAAGTAAAATGTGACAGTATATAATTGGATGGGTTCCAGAGGAAAACAGCATGCTCTTAACATATGAATTTTGAAGTTATTCACCCACATATAGATGTCTACAGGAATATGATATATAAGAGAAAAGAGGAATAAAAAGAAAATCCCTAGTTATCAAAATCAAAGGGGAGAAGAAAAACAATGAGACAGTGAAAGAAGCCAGGAAAAATGGGATCATAAAGGTAAAGTGAAACTAAGAGGATTAAATTATAGAAGCAATGAAACAAGAGATTTCAGGAGTAGAGAATGGGAAAGAGGTCAAATGCCACAGAGAAAGATAAGATTTTCTAAATACTAATTCATGATTAAGTGCAATTTCAGATCAATGACAGGTGGAGAAATCAGAACAGAGGGCGAATAAGTGAATGGAAAGAAAAAGTGGAGAAAGCAAGTAGCTTACTTTCCCAATACTTTGGAAAGGAAGAAGAGAGGTAGGGCAGAAGCTAGATAAGATGTTAGGGTCTAGGAGAATGTGTCTGCTTGCTTTGATTGGTAAGGAATGAAAGAAACCTAAACATGAGAGGCCACACACACACACAAAAAAAATAGAACACTAAGGACAAAGAGGCATGGAAAAAAAATGTTTCTGGGGAGAAGTTTCTTAATTCATATAATTTTTCATAAATAAACATTCTCCATTCCATTGTGGATTTGAAATATGGAAAAATCATGCTTTCAAAGACACAAAGTTGCTACACGATTAGAGTAAGAATATTCTTATTACAGTACATCTTTATTATCTAACAAAAATACCAAAGTGTACTTAGATGCAACTTAAAAAATTAAGAGCAGCAAACGTAGTTGATTTTCATAAAAGCTTTAATTTTACTTTGAATTAATGCTGAATATTCAAGATGACCAGTTTTATGATACAGACATCAGAAACTTATGCTTATACATAACTATCAGTCAAGCACTTTATTTGCCAATTATGGGCATACTATTAATTAACTTTATTATTTAATTTTATAATTACATATTTAATTTATTATACAAAGATATAATTCAAGTTCTTGTCATTATTTGTCCAAACAAAAATTAGGTAAGAAACAATAAATTTGGGTAAAATGCTGATTTTCTTTTGTGTCTAGAAATTTAGAGAAATAATCATCTCTCAAAAGCAAGCAGGTTTCCAGGTAGATTTCCGTGGAAAGCAGGTTGTCCTTATGAGACAAATTCTTGTCTTCATTCCTGGAAATCAGATTCTTGCAGAGCACGTTCCTTATGCATAGGTTTCGAACCTAGCAACCTCATATTCAAAGAGCAGCCAGGAACCACAAGAAGAACATTATTTATTTATTTAGGAACTATTTGTTCCTAGATGGCTCAAAAAAAAAAAAAATGCCTTGAAACCACTGTGATGGTTTTAAAATACCCTTCCCACAAAGGTGGAGTCAAATCCCCTCTTCTCTCCTTCAAATTGAGCTTGATAATAACTCACTTCTAATAAATAGAATGAGGCAGTAAGACTTCTGAGGCTAGGTTAGGAAATACAGCTTCTGTTTTGTTTTGTTTTTTTGGTTTTTTTTCGTCTCTCTCTTTCTCCTTTAAGACACACCTTGACAGACCTAAGCCAACAAATTACAAGTCCAGCTAACCGGGAAGAGGCTGGAAAGACAAAACAGAGAGACCACACAGAGAAAGAGGAATGCAGGAGTTGCTCTGATGGTTTGCATTTCCCCAGCCCAGGCAGGAGACCTTAATTTTGCAAACCTTCAGATGATGGCAGCTGAGATCACGATAAGCATGTAAGATCCCGAGCTAGGACCACCCCAGCTGAGCCCTTAGAAAGAGTCCTTAAGACTCAAAGTCAATTTACTCTTGTTTTATACATGAGTCTATAATCTTAGATGTCTATTCTTCTTATGAAATTGAAGATGCATCCTTTTTAGAGAGGATATATACAACTGGTTCCAAACTCACAAATCTGTTATATTTCAAAATTTTGTTTATATTTCGATTGTGTAGAAATTGGAATAAAACCTAAAACATATCATTCAAATGCTTTGGGCTAAGTTTTCTTATTTGTAAAATATATCAGCTGAAATAAAATGTAACTCAAACCACTTCAAGGACTAAAATTTAAAAGTTGCTGTTTTTAAGGTATGACAATTTTTAGTCCAATAAAAATAGGAAGAAAGCATATGAAATAAACTTTAATATTGCTAAAATAAGGGTATATATTATTTTAATGTAAGCACTGAAGCAGAGGGGAATGCAACTAAAACCTAGTCCTTTATCAATGTTTAATAAATATTAATTATTGACTATTTCAAAAGTAATTACCTATTTAAAGAATCTAATCAAGCATAGATGCTAGGTCAAGTTCAATAATACAAATCGTGAATATCCTTTAAAAAAAAAATCATTGAAACTATAGCTGTCCTGGAAGAAACATTACCATGACATAACAAAAGTACGGTACATATATTTTTATGCTACAACATAATATTTCAGGTTTTAAGACCGCCAATAATTCATACGAATCCCATTTAAATGTAGGTTAGTCTCTACACATTCCTATTTAAATTCAGGCTTGTAAATGAAATCAAGATGGCCTAGAGAGCTGCTTTTTTCTCTCTGAACTATTCACCCAGCACTAATTTAAAGCCACACCACACTAAAATTACTACTTCGTTATAAAATGGGTATTTGAGGTGTGTAGAAATAAAATCAACTCTCTCTTTCTACTACATCTGTAAGTTGTCCCTTACAGTATAGCAAAATTTTCAATGAAGTTTTATTATTAAAAGAAACATTTACAATACTAGTGACACTCTGTCTCAATGATATTTTTAAGCCAGTTCAACATGGAGGCTTTCTCACTTCGAGTGTGAGTATGTGTGTGTAAGAAGTTTTAAATCTTGACAAAGGACTTTCAATAGTAAACTAGTAGTATACAGTAACTTTAGTACTAAAATACTGTGCTGGTAGAAATTGGAAATGATGTAGCTATCTAGACATATATGAAAATTTAACTGTTATCCTTTGTGAAATACGAGTGAGCATATACGATTCACATTCTTACCACAATATCTGCTATCCTGCTCTACTCTAGTAAACAGGCAGTCAATGACAGGTGCACATCATTCAAAAATGTAGTTTTTAGTAGAATTAATACAGCTAGCTTACCTGTAAGATGTATAACTGTACCTTAAGCCAAAATGGTCATTAGATACAACTTTTTCTTTCTCTCTGATATTGAAAATACATTTTTGTCTTAAAAAGGATTAAGTATTTTCAAATACATCTTCCTCACCATAGTAAATTTATAGCTCTTTCCACATTTACAAAATTTGAAAATTCGTGTCCTGGGAATTGTTTACTCTATAACTTCAAAATCATTATTGTAGTACATTAAAAAGAGTTGGAGACCAACGTTAATAAGGCACTAAGAATTTGTCTGAAGATGAGTTGATCATTGAGGCAGGCTTTGAGAACATTAATAAAAAACTGAAGTAGAAGGTGGACTATTTCTCAAGTAAAAATGAAACATTAATTTCACACAGAATATCTAATGTTAAAGAACTTTTCCATTGATCAGCATTTAGTCTTAGATTATATTAAAGGATATAGAGTAAAGTTCTGTGAGATTGTCTGATTGATGCAAATTTGTGTAATTAGACTCTTCACACACAAATTTCCCTAAAGATCAGTGGTGAGGGTGGAAATAATGGGCATCCATTCATCTGCAAAGTTATTGATA